ATGTTTGAAGGGCGAGGCAAATGGTCAATAGCTTCAGTTAGTTTTTGAGTTTTGTATATTCCTTTGTTGCTAATTTTATACCCCAAATACTCAATCTCATTTACCATAAAGCTTGATTTTTGTCTATTAATTCTAAGATTGTACTGCTTGAACCTCTCAAATACCTGTTTTAAACGGCTAAGATGTTGTTCGTTAGTGGTGCCTGAAACAACTATATCATCATAAAAGACTTGTACCCCTTCTATCCCTTCAACAACTTTCTCCATTGCTTTTTGCCAAATAGCAGGAGCTGCAGATATTCCGAATGGTAATCTATTATATTGGTACAAACCTCTGTGTGTATTTATTGTTAACAAATAACGATCCGACTCTCTTATGGGCATATGAAGAAAAGCCTCCGATACGTCAATTTTACTGTAGGTGATACTGTTACCAATTTTAGATAAGATTTGTTCAATTGCTGGAACTGGGTACTCAGGGACAAGAAGAGATGGGTTGAGTGTGACTTTGAAATCACCGCACAGTCGTATGTTACCATTGGCCTTTACTATTGGAACTACTGGTGTTGCCCAGCTGCTGTAATCTACTTTAGAAATAATACCTTCTCTTTCGAGTCTATCAAGTTCCTCATTCACTCTAGGAATGAGTGCAAAAGGAACTGATCGAGCTTTCTTAAAAACTGGTTTAGCATCGGGTTTTAAATAAAGTTGTGCTTCCAATCCCTGAAGTTTGCCTATGTTTTTAACAAATAGGTAATTTTCATATTGTTTTAAAAGATTTTCCAAGCCCAAGTTATTTTTGGAACTCAGTTGGTTGATTTCTTGCCAGTCAATTTTTATTTGTTTCAACCAATCCCTACCAAATAGAGTATCACGGTCTCCTTCCACAATGTATAGAGGTAAAACTTTGGTCTGTCCATGATAGTTAACTTTTACCATAGTTTTACCTATTGGAGAAAAACAGTGTTTATTGTAATCTCTGAAAATAACATTGCTTGGTTGCAACGGTCTGTGGCTTGGAAACATTCTTTTAAAGTTATAGTGCGACATGATTGACGCTCCAGACCCAGTGTCTAATTCCATTGTAGTTGGTCGGTCATTAAGATTAACTTTTAGCAAGATCTTATCATTTGAACCTTTGGAATTATACAAAATATCAACAACATTATGTGTGGGATCATGGACACATACTGTTTCGGATGTTAGATTTAACTCTTTGTGTACAGCTTTAACATTTTTAGCTGTAGAAATAGTTCCAAACTTTTTAGTTGGTAATTTTATCACTGCATTTGGATTTGACAAACATACTTTAGCAAATATGACCAATTGTTTTGCAATAATTACAAAAAGTGTTGATATGTGGACAAGGTGTTGTATGTGATTTTCCACATCTGTAGCAAACTTTATTAGGATGGATGTTGTTACTTACATTGTCAACTCTAATTGATATGTTATCACCACGGTGTAGTGTTGCTGCATCCTGGTAGGCTTTCTCGAGTGTAGTTGCGAGCTCCAGAGTTTTGTCCATAGTTGAGACCGATTCGCTTATCAATTTGGCTTGAATCGCTTCATTTCTCAATCCTTGTATGAACTGATTTCGTAATGCTGTGTTAAGAAAATTGCCAAAGTTGCAGTATCTTGACAATCCTTTCAATTCTGTTGCAAAGTGCTGTATGTCTTGGCTGCACTTTACTTGACGTCCTACACTCATTCGAATGAAAATATCGTTCGATATATCGATTAATCGATTGCTTCATTCAATATATCGAATGAAAGAATCGAATGAAAATATTGAATCGAAAAAACCAATCGAATGAGTGCAGGACGTCAAGTAAAGTGCAGCCTATGTCTTCACCTTCCTGTTGACGTCTATTGTGGAATTTGAAAGCTTCTGCTACTTCGTTTGGTGGTGGTGAAAAGTGTTTGGTGAGTTGTTTAATTAATTCTTTCCAATAACATGTAGCAGTGTTATTTTCTTGTTTTCCTCAGAAATATTGTTGAATACAAAAGCTATTTCTAGTCTTTCTAGGTAGCTGTTCCATGTTTCTTCATTATCATCAAAGGGTTCAAAAATAAAGTTCCTCGTCGCCATCTGCTATGTACTATGAAAAGAAAGTTGATTAGGGGTGGGCGAGTACTCGACCTTCGAGTAATTACTCGAGTTTTTTCAAATACTCGACCTCGAGTCGAGTAGTAATTACTACTCGAAAATTTCGAGTCGAGTAGTTATAAATAGTGCCAATTCACGATTTTCTACATCCATATTTAATAAATTATATTTTGTTTTGTGTTGATGCCTTATTTAATCCCCATTCCTACAAAAAACAACTATCTAACCTCATTAGGTTAGACCAGCGTAAACCAAATGTTCAACAAACACCCATCGTCATTCGGCAGAGCTAGCAAGAGGACTACTACTCTACTACTAACAACAGACTTTCACTTTCCTACAACAGTCAACAATACGTCTCGATAACGATACAGTAAGTTGAAATAAAGCATTGAATGAATCTATCGAATTGCAATAGTCGATAGCCAACAAGAGAGTCTCGTGACTAGTAGGCCTAACAATGGCAGACGATTCTCGAAGATATTATAAAAGTACAGTATCAGATTTAGTTTGAACTGTCATAAAAATATTTTATACCAAAATACAGTATAGAAATAACAAAATATTTTATACCAAAATATAGAAATACAACAAAGAAAAATAACCTATTGTAGCATAATATTTTTTCAAATTAATCGGTATTGGTGTTTAGTTTTACAAACCGATAAGTTACTCAGTTACTGCAAGGAACATCGATGCATCTGAATGACGCAATCTCATTGGGTCTAGGCAAATGGCAGAAAGAAAAGATCAGTTCCAATTTAAACTCAGTGTTGCCAGATGGACAATAATTTTTGTACTTTACAACTGTGGTATTGGCGTAAACAAACTATAAGTATAATTTTCTAATGAGTTTACATAAACATTATTTTAAATTAGTCAAACTATTAACTTTTTTTACAAAATAAAAGCTATAACAATTTTATGATAATTTTGCCGACATTCACCATAATGGTGTAATGTTAAATATGGCAACGTCAGCCCTGCAAAACAGCTGTTTAATGGGAAAACAAAGCAGAAGCAGAGAGCAGGAGCAGACCGGACTGACTGAGAGAGAGAGAGAGAGAGAGAGAGAGAGAGAGAGAGAGAGAGAGAGAGAGAGAGAGAGAGAGAGAGAGAGATAAAGATGGTGACGCATAGCAACAGCAAGAACAAAAAAAAAACAATGGATTGGAGTAAAGTTATGTCAACGTCAGTTTTGAATGTTTTTACTTTGAAGTGAATTTGTAACTTAAAATAAAATTGATTTTGTTAGTGGAAGTTTGATAGAAAGTAAAATAAACATATTCTGTTTGTGATTTTGATTGTGCAATTTTCAATCTGGTGGCAGAAACATGACAACTACAGTTTGAATTGTAACTTAACCTAGAAAATGTGAGTTTATAAAGAAAGGCCAAATAGGCTATACCAGGCTACAGTGAAATGTGTTTTAATTTTAAATTAAGTGTTTAATGTGGGATTTTATTTCGAGATAATAGGCCTACTATGTTTTTATTTGATATTTTCAGTCTGTCAGAGACGAGTGACTTGGTCATTTTTATAAATGTACTGAGTGAAGAGGATAATAAATGTTCTGATTTCTGATAGCCCTAGTAGGCCTACCCATAACCTTCAAACTTCAGACAGATTAAGTGCTTATCCAAGTGATTACCTATTTTAAAATACCTCATTGATGTTTTTAACTTCTGATACAATATGTAGTTTGATATAAGTTTTCTGTTAAATAAATAAATTTATTTTTATAAATTCTGTTTCTTATTTGAATTGAAATTATTCTTAAAGTTAGGTACCTTATTAAGTTAGTTAGTTAGGTTGATTATCATGTTAGTGAGGAGGAATTAAAGGCAAGAAAAAATAAAACACACAATAACAAGTGATGTGTAGGCCTAAATAATTTAATGCTGCAGCCAACAAGTAGTCTAGGCCAATTTTTGTATTAGGCCTAAGGTAGGAGGTACTAATAATTAGTAACCATATAACTTAGAAAATTTGGTATAAGTAGGCCTACTTAAACTACCTATTTAGGCCTAGGCAGGGTTTAGGCTAGGATAAAATTTTTTCAGCAAAATGCTGCAAACTCTCTGCAAAGACAAAAACTAAGTTAGGCCTAACTGTAGAAAAAATATTATTCAATAACTTAAGCATTTAAAACAAAAAATTCCAGTAGGCTAATATTACATTTGTTTGAACATTACATCTTTCAATTTTATTTGTAGAAAATTTGCCAAAGGCCTAGCCTGCAAAACAATGTAAACTTAGTATTTTTAAGTTGTGAATAGTAAGATGCTAAAAATACTACCGCAGCATAAACCCTGGGCCTAGGCCTACTTAACGCGCAACTACTCGACTCGACTCGATACTCGAGTTTTTACTCAAATACTCGACTCGACTCGATACTCGAGTTTTAACTCAAATACTCGACTCGACTCGAATTGAAAAATCACTACTCGCCCACCCCTAAAGTTGATTTATGTTTTAATACAAATTTTTATTCTGTAGCAAATTATTGTGAGTTAGCTTTTTTCAGTGAAACAAAACAAAAAAAAATTAATGTAAACAAAGTCATATGATAAATAAAATAAATTAGGAAACAGTTAGTTGAACACAGCAATCTTCTATAAATATGTTTACTAATGCAAAGTTTACTGCAGAAGACTTATGCATGTCGTTGTTGCTGTCGGGTTATCATATTGGACATTCGACCGTCGCCGAAAAGACAATTCGGCCAAGACAGTCAGTCGTGTCAGCTGTGTTTTATCCTGGTGCTGGTAACCCCATTAGGTGGCCATGAAGGCCCAAACAAGTTCTGTCCTTTGGCAGTAGAATATAGTGAAGTTCAACCAATTGTGTGCCTGAGCTATGTTGTATTATTATTCCTGACAATAACTCACCAATCTCTGGGTTCTTGCCTTCAAGAGCACAAAGAGCTGAACCCTTGACAATCGGGACATTGTCACCATCATAGCCCATCTCTGTCAGCAGCTCTCTGGAATGTACAATGAAACCTGTGAAACTCGCTAAGTATTTCTTGGTTTATCCCAACAGTACTAATGTATAGATTACCATATAACTAAGATAAAACAATATTTTTAAAATAAAAGAGTAGCTATTGTTGTAAAATTTACCCTAAAATAAAATGGATACGTTTAATTAACACGTTCGCTACTGCAATAGTACGAAGTTTTTCATTCACATGGACCAGCGACGCACATATGCGACGGCCGGTTTCCACCCATAGACTGCCATCGCATATATGCGTTGGCTAGTCACATTAAAATAGACTGCCGTCGCATATTTGCGTCGGGGTTCTAATGTTATTAAAATGCTTATATCTTTGTAGTGGTCTATTTGAAGGCACTGAATTCCCTGCAGTAGTCTACAGAGATGTCTGACGCACAACTGCGTCGCTTGGTCTGAGGATATGATGATTGGTGACGTCATATAATAGTTCAAAAAACTGGTCTTTACTTTTCTGCATCACTATGTATGCAGCATGTATGCTGCATTATTCTATGTAGCTTTTATATTTGTTCAGTTATAAACTGTTCTTAAATAATCAGTTTTTTTTTTTTAACTTACTTTCACCTCAAAACACAAAAAAATGAACTGTCGCATATATGCAACGTTTAGTCTACTATGATAATTTTCACTATTGTCTTTGCTGTAGACCGGGCGTCACAAGTATGCGACATTACAAAAGGTTATAAAAAATACAAAAAAACAAGAATAAATTATTTACAAACACGATTGTAGCGTATTACAATGTAAATGATCACTGTTTTGCAGGTTTTCGCCCGTGGTCTGTGTGTACTGTTATCCAAGTGACAGCCGGTCTATGTGTAAGATTCAAACGTATACCTCGGTCTGTGGCAATGACCGCGGCGTCGCATATATGCGACGCTCAGTAGCGAACGTGTTAAACAAACATTAATAAAACTAGCTGTTACCCACGGGCTCCACCCCGTTTTACTACATAAGTATTAATAAAACTATTGATTCGTTAAGTTAAGCTGAAATAAACAAAACAGAATACAGTAATGGTAATACAAACAAATAATAACAGCTGAGGTATTTTTAACATTAGGTAAATGGAAAGTTTCCTTTGGAAAGCAATTACGACCTTATAGGGCAATTTATGAAATAATGGATAATTTTGCGCAAGGTAAAAAAAAAATGCGTCATGACGAACATTTTAAGTAGGGATGGTCAAGTCTCGAAATTTCAGGAAATTTTCGGGAAATTTTAAATCTCGTTACACGAGACGAGATTTCTTTTTGGCCGAGATTTTTATCAAGACGAGAATAAAAAAATTAAAAAAATTAAAAACGCCTGCAGAAAGTCAATGCAATACCCGCAATACAGTAGCGTGTTGTAGTTGCGTTTCCTTTGCGAAGGCGTTCTTATTTAATTAATTCTTTAAATGTAAATATTACTTTAATTATTTTAATAATATTACTTTAATAACATTTGAGAAGTTTTGTTAAGTGTAAGCAGTGTGAGGAATGTTTTATTACTATAAAAAGTCAAAACAAGTAACTATTTTATAAAAATTAATATTGCTTTTATTTTATTATTTATTTTATTTTAGGATAAGTTGAACTCTATCCTAACTGATATCACTATGTTTTCTAATCTTAGGCATTTTTAATAAGTTAGGCGTGATTAATAAAAAAATGTTATGCTGATGTTTTTTGAAATGAAAAAAAATGAAATTTTTAATAAAAGATTGTAAATATTCTTGCCTATTATCATTATTTTTGTATTTAAACAGTCATCTAACAATGTTGTAACGTGCCGTTTTCCCCCTCGGAATATATGCGCTATTCCGTAGTTAAAGCGGGAAAGACGTCACCAACTCTCGCCAGCGGATCGCTCAAGTCGGCGTGCTGGGAAGTTTCCAGGGTTCAGATAAAAATAATTTATTTGATTAACTTAACAACCTAGCACAGGTACAGATTTGTATATACGCAAAAATGTAGTGTGAATCAGGCGTGAACTCAGTATCGGTAACCAACAACGCTACTGTACCATCATCATCGTTCACACCTGGGAACAGCTAATTAAATTAAATTTAAAAATAATGAAAACCCGTTCAATGAAATTTTGAAACAACTTAATGTTGCAGTTTCGTCAACCTCAACACTTAGAATATTATTACTAGCTAAATAGTGAATGTACTTAGCGTGCTCCACCAGACCTCGTGTTTGCACGACCTGCAGAGACGGGTTCAACTTTGCCCGCTTTGCCGCAGCAGTTCAACACCTACTGAATATCCCGGCAAAATATCCGCTATAACCCCGTCACCCTCAATATATATTGTAAACACAATATTAAACGAAATTTGTATCCCTAAAACTCTTTATTGCCACCCACGGGAGCCCTAGCATACGCTAAAGAGGACTTATACAAGTTCTAACACCCGACAAAGATCCTACCGTGAGTTTTACATCTAAAAGAATAAAATGAGGGTTTATCGCTAAATAATAAAAAATAATAGTACACACTATTAAGATAAAGCCGGCGAATTACCTGTATACTCCAGGGATCTTCACTGACACACTAAAGCACACGCTTAGCAAAATCACTAAAGTAATCACTCTAACGTCCTAACACTCGCAATCGCAGGATTAGAATGTCGTCGCATCCCTAGCCCACAAGGGATCTCCTCTCTTTCCCCCTCCCTAACCCCTTAGGGATGGGGAATCAGCTGATTCACTTCCCAGCTGATCGGTGACGTCACGAGTTCAAACTTGGCGCTGTCACAACACAACGCCAAGACAGCCGACTAGTGGTACAGGTTATGTTGTTAATGTTGTTATTCACCTGCGCCGACTGTGAAATTATACGGCAGAACTTTAAGATCATCGCTGATTCAACCAAAGCGTACAATTTCCACCCGTGATGTGTAGCTTAGTGTCCGACAAAGTGTATGCATGTTATGTACGCGATATTGTATTTGTGATCGCGGTTCACCACCCTAGCCTAAACAACAACTTTGACCGTACTTCCCAAAGGTGTATATTAGGTATGGGGGTTACACGGAAACGGTTTATCACTCGTTTTGTACACAACAATGTTATACTGTGACTTGTGAATCTCCACAATAGTGTCTTTAGTGATTTTGCCAAAAGTGAGGTTATCCCTACTTCAACCCTAGGATAGGCCTAAAACAGCCTATTTACCTTACCATGATAGGTTTACCACTATCACCAACCAGGTAAGGAATAGGCCTACTGACAATTAAATAATAAATATAAAACTTAACCCCTCTATAATTTTGACCCATTACAATGTTACAAAATCAGGTAAAAATTTTGAACGTGCATTTCCCGTTGTGTATGAGAAGGGAAATCCCGTCTCAATCTCGTCTCGAAATTTTATGAGAAATAAAAAATCTCGTCTCGTCTCGTCTCGAACTAAAAATCCAATCTCGTCCATCCCTAATTTTAAGTATATGGTTTATGGGGGTGTGACTTGTAGTTTTCTCAAAAGTTCAAGGGTACTTTTGGCTTTATATATAGATATGTTTCAGATTTTACAATAGGTTGAGAAATCTACTAGCAATATCCAAAGGCAACAATATCACTAACTCGTGTACATTTTTATAGCCGTCTTATTTTGATAACAAACACTGGTTTAGCCTTTATCTTATAAGTTTTTATGTTCCAGAATTAAAAACTAATTCTCCTAGAGCCCAGAAATTAAAGAGTAGGCCTATTATTATTTTTATGAAATCTAAAAAAACTTTTAAACCTTAATAAAGGTGATAAAATTCTTAACAGATATTATTTTAAAATATTGTGTTAGAACATATGACAAGTTTATTTAGAATCGAGGACAAATTTTCATGCAAACAAGCTAGGTTTTAATGCCAATTTTGTGCCTGAAGGATACTAATATTGGCTAGTTACATTTACATCTTAAAGTTCCTTATTGAAATTTTACAATAACTATGACTAGAGGACCCGTGCTGCTCCGCAGCATTGAAATTTATTTCAGAAAATCTTAAGATAATTTATTAAACTGAATATTAGTGTTAACATTTTACTCAAATTAATAATTTATGTTATAAATAAAATTTGTTTATTTACACCATTACATTAAATAACAAATAAAATACAAATATTAAATCATCTGCCTTTACAACACTTCTCTCCATACAATATTCAATGTGCGTCGTCCTTTTGGTTTTATTTCCACTTTAACTTTTTCGAATGATTTTCCTCTCGATAAGGCGACATACAGCTGACCATGGCTAAAAACTGGTTCAGGCAAGTAGACTCCAACCCGATCAATTGTTTGCCCCTGCGCTTTATTAATAGTAATGCAAAATGCTACCTTAATTGGAAATTGTCTTCGCTTGAAAGAAAATGGCACAGTTGTATCTGAAGGCGAAAGATCAATGCGCCAAAGATCAATGGGAGTACACGTTGCCCGATGTTCTTCCCCATTATTATTTCCAAATCTAAAATATTTGTACCTATGCATTTTCTTTACAATAAGCCTTGTGCCATTTAAAAGACCTGTTGTATAATTTAAATTTCTTAACAGCATGACAACTGTGCCTTCTTTCAAGACTAATTCATGACATGGCAAACCAGTCATTTCAAGGCTGTTCAGGAAATCGATTGGGAACTGTAAAACCTCACTTTCATCCTCTGTTATAAGTGTATTCACACTGGTATATGTTTTTATTTTGCCTCGAATGAGATCTAGAACTCTTCTGTTTACTTCATCACAGTGCTCATTTTTCGGTGCTAATTTTGAATAATAAGATGAAACACTATCGACTGGAAGTGTTTTGCCATATATTTGAGTAACAATGTCTAATTCAGAGATTATTAAGGAAGGCAAGTTAACAGTACCATCATCATTGGTTGGGAATTCTCCGTTACCAATTTTAAGCAAAAAATTTGCAAAAACACATTGGTCAGTGTTTGCTCTCATATTTTTGGTCGATTTGAAAACTTTGAATAGAGGCCAAAGATTTGAAAATGTAACTGAGTTTTGTACAGTAGCAGCTCTGGAAGTATGTGGCACAACTGGCAACACTTGTCGGAAATCTCCACCTAATATTACAATCTTTCCACCAAATGGCACATCATTGTCCATTATATCTTGTAATAAATGGTTGACACACATAAGTGCGTACTTATTGGCCATTGGTGCCTCATCCCAAATTATTTATCTCGCAGAACGAATGATCTGATTTACACTGAAATGTCTAGTTAAATATATAACATTTATTCTTGATTTAAATAGAATTAGTTTAACAAGTACAGTACTTAGGTTTGCTGCATCAGGGAGGGTAAAACTGTTTTTTTTTTTGTAAAATGTGAATAGTTAGTAAGAAATAAAAACATTTTCCAAATTTGATCAAAATATGTTCACAAACGACTACAACAGTTTACTTATTCTCCATAAGAATAACATAGGAATTTTAAATTTACAATTTTTTGGAATTTTCTCCGTAACCATTAGGCGCATAATAACGCTTCAATATACTAAATTATTTGTTTTTTTTAAGCTCTACAAAATAGTTTGGAAAGAAATTGCTAAATTTTAAGTTTTTTTTGGTCAAAAATGGGAAAAACCTATTTTTACCCCATAAAACCCCCCGTAAACCCCCATTCCCATGGTCCGATCATGCTGGATCGCGAACTCGGTCGAATAAACGTACGTTTACACGTTTGTACCAAATTTCATCAAAATCGGATCATTTTTGCTCGAGTTATCGTGCTGACGGACACATATATATATAAAAGATATGAATTTGAACGGATGGTGTTTTTGGCCTCTAGGGACCTCAAAACGAAAAGAAAAAAAAAATCAGTCCCGCGTCCAGGTCTTACCATGAGTACTACGGTAATAGCTTATTCCCTATATGGGAAATTCGCTAAAACAAACAATTAAACTTATGGGGAATAATACTGAAGGACCGAGTGAATTTAGGGTAAAAAAAAACTTAATTTGATAAAAAACGTAAAGAGAAAAATGAGTAAGACTTATTAGAAAGAATTGAATTGTTGTAATGAAAAATACTAAAGTACATATGATTGATGTAAACAAATGTTGTTAAACATTTGTAAACAGCTGACATCTAGAGGAATATAAAATTATTGTTTATTCCTTTACAAAGAGTAACTTTTCCTTAACATATCAAATTTATGTTTTAGCGAATTTCCCATATAGGGAATAAGCTATTACCGTAGGTCTCATGGTAAGACCTAGACCCGGGACCGATTTTCTTTTTCGTTTTGAGGTCCCCAGAGGCCAAAAACACCATCCGTTCAAATTCATATATATATATATATATATATTTATATATATATATATATATTTATATATGTGTCCGTTAGCGCGATAACTCGAGCAAAATTGATCCGATTTTGATGAAATTTGGTACAAACGTGTAAACCTACATTTATTCGAACGAGTTCGCGAACCAGCATAATCGGACCATGGGATCAGGGGTTTATGGGGGGTTTTATGGGGTAAAAATGGGTTTTTCTCATTTTTGACCCTAAAAACTTCAAATTTCTAAATTTCTCTCTAGACCAATTTGAAGAGCTTAAAAAAACAAATAATTTGGTATATTGAAGTGTTTTTGAATGTTCGTTGACTACGGAGAAAATTTAAAATTCCCATGTTATTCTTATGGAGAATAAATAAACTGTTCTAGTTTGCTTGTTTATGGATATATTTTAATCAAATTTGGCAATTTGGTTTATTTCATACTAAGCTATCAATATTTCAATTGAAAAAAACACATCTCAACATCTTCCCTGTAGCAGCAAATCTAACTACTCACTAAAATTAATGTTATTTAAATAGGAAATAAATCTGAAAATTTATAGGGAATATTTTAGTAGAAATCAAGCCGGGTAAAATAGGCCTACAGTATTTTGAACATAACTGATACGAACGATCTATATCTCAAATGAAAGCTTTTATTTCTAGGAGTATTTTAAGAACAAAAAAAACATATAAACAAACTAAAATAAAATGGGGTTATTGATCACACTGGTCTTCGGTAAATCCCAAAATAATTACATTTTTTATTGTTTGGAATTCAGCAGCGCGCTTCAGGTACGTCCGATCTTAATAATCAAGGGCTCAAATGAAAGCTGGTATTTCACTGAAGGTTCTTAGACCAAAACATATAGGATTACATAATTATAACTGAGGAAATATATCTTCAATTGAAGTAACAATTTATGTTTTTTGGTCAAGTAATACTGTAGATAAATGAATGCTGATGCTTGATGGCAAATTTACGCGTGCATACCTTTAATTTAAGACCAAAATTATGAAAATCGGTCGGGTAGAAGAGCCGAACAGACTCGGAAAAGAAAAACCAAATTTATCTCCCATAAGAAATGTACAGGAAGCAAATTACGTTTGTGCATAACTCGAGTAATACGTCAGATAAATGAATGCCGATGCTTGATGGCAAATCTACGCGTGCATACCTTTAATTTAAGACCAAAATCATGAAACTCGGTGGGTAGAAGAGGCGGACGGACTCGGAAAAGAAAAACCTATATTTTTTAATATATAGATTACTCAGTTTAAATTATAGTTGTGCATCAATCATAGTATTTTATTGTGTAAAATGTAGGGAAGGACGAGATTGGATTTTTAGTTCGAGACGAGACGAGACAAGATTTTTTATTTTTCATGAAATTTCGAGACGAGATCGAGACGGGATTTCCCTTCTCAAACACAACGGGAAATGCACGTTCAAAATTTTTACCTGATTTTGTAACATTGTTAGATGACTGTTTAAATACAAAAATAATGATTATAGGCAAGAATATTTACAATCTTTTATTAAAAAACATCAGCATAACATTTTTTTATTAATCACGCCTAACTTATTAAAAATGCCTACAATTAGGAAACATAGTGATATCAGTTAGGATAGAGTTCAACTTATCCTAAAATAAAATAAATCATAAAATAAAAGCAATATTAATTTTTATAAAATAGTTACTTGTTTTGACTTTTTATAGTAATAAAACATTCCTCACACTACTTACACTTAACAAAACTTCTCAAATGTTATTAAAGTAATATTATTAAAATAATTAAAGTAATATTTACATTTAAAGAATTAATTAAATAAGAACGCCTTCGCAAAGGAAACGCAACTACAACACGCTCCTGTATTGCGGGTATTGCATTGACTTTCTGCAGGCGTTTTTAATTTTTTTTTTTTAATTCTCGTCTTGATAAAAATCTCGGCCAAAAAGAAATCTCGTCTCGTGTAACGAGATTTAAAATTTCCCGAAAATTTCCCGAAATTTCGAGACTTGACCATCCCTAGTAAAATGTCTTAAGTTTCAATTGGGTAGCTGAGTGGTTATAGTGCTCGCCTAGTAATCAAAAGGTCGCCGGTTCGATCCTGAGAAAAGTTAGTAGCTTTTTGATGGTTCGAAACTGGACCCAGCTGTTCCTGATCATTGGGCTTTAAATAAATGATCCTGACTAATGAAACCACTGATCTTAGTCAGTAACAAAGCTACACAGGTCATCACACACCATTCTACACTCATCCTTCACTCATATTTGGGTTAAAATACGCACCTAGGTGGCGTCCCCATCTCAATAATTGATTGATTGATTGGATTACAACTTTGAGGATATCTTATATATTTAAAAAATTTTGGTTTTTCTTTTCCGAGTTTGTTTGGCTCTTCTACCCGACCGATTTTCATGATTGAGGTCTCAAATTGAAGGTATGCATATGCAAGCACAGATTTGCCATCAAGCATCGGCATCTAAATAATATACAGCCTATATTTATCTATAATCCCACTCGGGTTATACGCAAACAAAATTTGCTCCCCATGTAGTTCTTATGGGAGTTAAATTTAGTTTCTATTTTCCGAGTTCATTTGGATCTTCTACCCAGCTGATTTTCATTACTGAGGTCTCAAATTGAAGGTATGCACGCACAGATTTGCCATTAACCATTGGCATATATGTATCTATAATCTTACTCGGCTTATACGTTTGAACGAAATTTGCTCCCCATGTCTTTCTAATAGGAGTTAAATTTGGTTCTTCTTTGCCGAGTTCGTTTGGCTCAAAGATTTCACATCAATCATCAGCATATATTTACCTACTGGATTACTCGACCAAAAAACATAATTTGATTCATTTTCAAATTCTTACTTCAATATAAGATGTATTCACCAGTTATAAATAATCCTATATATTTTGATCCAAGAACCTTTAGTGAAATACCGGCTTTCATTTAAGCTATTAGTTATTCAAATCGGATGAGTTTCAAGTAAACGCAAGGTGAACAACCAACATAATAATTATTTTTCATAAGGGTTTTCTACGATTAAAAATCAATAGCTCCAGTATTGTTCATGTTTTTTATATTTTTTAGACTCAAAATAATCAATAAATTATAGGCTTTAATTTGAGCTATTGATCGATTGAATCAGTCAAGCTCAAGACACTGTAATACTCAATCAAAAATCATAAATTTGATTATTTCTCAGACATTATATTTATTTTAACACTGCTGAGCAGCATGGGTCATCTAGTTATTTTGTTAATTATGTTGGGTCACTTGATACTACAATAATAGGAAAAGATGTTGTGCTAAGATTACGAGAACAAACTATGAGAGTAACGACAATTAACCTGATTTAAGCCTACACACTACACAGTAATTTTAGCTTGAGTTACTATGTACCTGATTTCCATTTCTACTAGTTCAACCATTTCTGCGTCTGCTGCATCAACCTAGAAACAATATGATATAAATTCTAAATATGTAGCAAGAATAGTTTAAAAATGCATTCACTGGTGTGATGTAAATAAATATACTCTACAACTGACTTTAGCTCACATAGATCAAATGAACATAGGCAATAATAATTAATAAATAGTCTTTAAATGAAGAAATATATTCCAATATGCCTTTTAAGACAAAACATAAAGGAGTATTTTTTGTAAAGGGATATAATTCAGCAACGCAGGACTGGTATTTTGTGCTAATCAAATCAAATCTTATAATGTCAAATAATTTATTTTAAAATATGCACAACTCAGCCTGTTCTCTCTTAGTCTAGTTGAACTAATACAAAATATCAAGGTCATGTTGTGTAACCTTCTTTGGGTATTTATAACTGCCCAAGTCTATTGAATCTACTTTTCTCAGGTAAGCTAGCTCTAGCTGAACATATTATATTCCTTCTCAATAGAATTATCAATTGGCCATATTTTTTTTCTTAATTTGAACAAAGACATTTGTTATAGTACAGTATTTTTTTTTTTATTAATCAAACCCCCAAAAAAGGTGATCATTTAAATGTACAACTTTCATACTGACACAGTATGACAAAACAATTTTTTATTGTTTTCTTCATTAGTGGTAATATTTTACTAAATATACAAAAGTGAATTTCTTGTTGCAGCAAGCCTTAGTAGGCTTCTAGAATTTTTTATGTTATTCGCTTAGGGAATAAATAGTTATCTACTCAATAATTTGTATCCAAGTTCAAGTCCCCAGATTTCTAGATGGTAGTGGTTGATTTGTGTAGGTCTACCTTGTTGATGAAAACAACGATGTGGTCAATGCCGATCTGTTTAGCCAACAGTAGATGCTCCCTGGTCTGAGGCATGGCGCCATCTGTGGCCGCTACAACCAGGATTGCGCCGTCCATTTGGTTGGTGCCTGTGATCATGTTCTGGAAACATCCAGCTTTCTTACTGATTATGATCTGCTGTTCTTAGGAGCCCAATGAATAATTTTACCTTTTTCTACTTATAGGAATCAATTTGAGTATAAAGCTATTGAGTTTTTGATACTGGAATAGACATCCCATCTATATGGACCAGATGTAGCCAATTTTTCGTTAAAAAAAATAACATAGTTGCGCTACAGTCTATAACTCCATTATCTTTCTTGGTTTTTGCTACTGAGGTAGTTGAGGCGACATAAAAGAATTATGCTATGGTTTACAATAAGTCGTCTTATCAGTTTGACTTGGTTTAAAAGTTATCGTATTAGATATAGGCTAAATCAGCATTTCAAATCAGCACTCTTTTTCACTAGTTATATTTAACTAGGCCCTTTTTGATTCAAAAAATGGCGCAACTTTGACATAAGAATTAAATGTGTAGTTCTGTCGATAGTTAAAGGTTTAACTACTGACTTTCACACATTCCTAAATAATTAAGCGAATAGGCCTATTGTTATAAGGTGTTATAAAAGTTATCTACCTTGATATAGTCAGCATGTCCGGGACAGTCGGTATGGCCATAATGTCTGTTTTCTGTCTGGTACTCAATGTGGGCTGCGTTTATTGTGATTCCTCTCTTCTGTTCTTCAGGGGCATTGTCTATCTGAGAGTAGGACTTGGCCTTTGCTAGCTTCTTGTCAGCCAATACTGTTGAAAAACAGTGAAAAAACTGAACATTATAAATAAGATAGCATAGAAAGTGGGAAAACCAAAATAGAAAAATGTTGTACTTCCATGCTTGATGGAAACATAGCTACAATATAGACCTGTAAAATAAATGTGACATTCTCTCTCTCAAGTGAGGTCCGGGATAGCGCAGTGCTTGCTGGGTACCTGTTCCAGGGGTCAAAATAACAGAAAGCAAAGGAATGGCTCAGATTCGTGGCACACAAATTTATTGATTTTCAAACAGCCTCTGTCATCACAGCCATGAAGGAGAGGTTGTTGGAATAGAACTAGAAGGATGTCTCAATTAGTGCTAAACTTAGAAACTAACAGGATCTATGATTATGTTAAAATAACTCTAGCAGGTTTGGGTTGAGTGCTAAGATTTCTCTAGCAGGAACGGGTCAAGTACTAAGATTTCTGTAGCAGGAACGGGTCGAGTGCTAAGGCTTCTCTATCAGGAACGGGTCGTGTGCTAAGATTTCTCTAGCAGGAACGGGTTGAGTGGTAAGATTTCTCTAGCAGGATCGGGTAGAATACTAACCAGCCAAAAGCTTTGTCTCGTAGGAGAACCGGCGATGAACTGAACTGTGCTCTAGTGTGGGGCTTGTATTTATACGCGGCCAGAAGGCCTGAAATGGTCAGTTTGGATTCGGACTTTGGAGCGTAAAGACAATAATATAAAAAATTAAATTATAATAAAAAAATATAAAAATAAAATAATACACAATAAAAAACATAAGGTATACAATGAAATTGTGAGCGAACGGGAGGCCGTAGTAAGCTGGGAGAGGTCTCATTTTAATGGTCTGGGCATGACATTTTGGGGAAAATTATTCATTTCTCTTAATTATGCACAAAAAGGTTGTTACAGAATAATATACACATTTAAATAACATAGAACAAAACAACCTGCGCAGAAACGAAAAGATCACGTGGTTCGCGCCGGTAGGTGTGGCGTACCATTCAAACCTGCGCGGCTCGAAACGGCCCAGGGTTCTTTTGTTTCTGGTATTACTATAGTAGTAATTACTGGAGTAGGCAAAGGGAACATATTTGTCATGCCAAAAATAAAACTATTATCTACAGATCCTAATATGCTGTTTAAGTTTACAAAGATTACATTTTCACAATGTTTGAATCACAAACTCAAAATCATAAAAAATTCAAACTCAGACTCACATTTAAATTGGCAAACTTACATTAAAAATTTATCAAAAAGACTTAATTCAGCTGTATTTGCGTTGCAAGTAATTAGAGATACAACACATTTTGACACACAAATTGCAGTATATTTTGCTTATTTCGCTTCAATTATGAATTACGGACTTATTTTATGGGGATCGTATAGTGAAAGCAAAAAAGTGTTTATTCTTCAAAAAAGGGCGATTAGACATAGGGTATAGCCAAGGTTCCTCCAGATACACATTGCCAAGAATATTTCAGTCAATTCAAAATTCTCACTTTATACAGCTCTTGTATTTATTATATTTCTTTGACAGTCAAGAGTAACTTGGATACACTTATGGAGAGTCAGCCCTCTCACAACCATGATAAAAGATACAAAAAATTAATAAAACCCAGTGCAACATAGACTAAAATTATTTAATTTAATCCCACAATATATGGGACCCAAAATTTATAATATGCTGCCTTCAACGATAAAAGAAATTGATTGCATATTGAAATTTTAAAAAACACTTAAGATATGGCTTCTAGAGAAGGCATTTTTTCACTGGAAGATTTCCTAACAAATGCATAATTATTTTTAAGTATTCAATATTATGATTGTTTTTACAATAGTTTTTAGTTTGATGACAAATCACCTGTCAATCATTGATGTAACGTGATGATGATAAATAAATAAATGAATGATATTTTCCTAGTCCTATAGTGATTAGGCCTACTTCATTTTTTAATGATCATCTGGAGGAACTATATTCTTCTACATACCAAGAGTGTCGTGTTGTTAGCGCCTACCTCCACCTGCCTACATTTAATTGATGATAAGAAATTTGTTAAACTACAGGAGAGAGTCAAAAATCCGAACCAATTGGGACCGTAGGTAGTTCAGATTACCGATTTGTTCGGATTTTCAAACATAGCCTAGAAATGCCTAATAGACACATAATTAGGCCTACAGTATTAAAAATACAGTTCTAGGTTACAGTTAATGAAATGAAAATAATGATTTTTGTACCTAGGTATTTTCCTTATATAACTGTAATTTGTCTCTTGAAAAAAACATGTAGAGCTTAAACTGTTGTCTCTGTGCCAATTCAATATTTTAAAACTCTCAGGAGCGGTTCGGATTTTTGACGTTTCGGATTTTTGACGTTCGGATTTTCGACTCTCTACTGTACTGAACAACGTGGATTCTAAAAATTACTCCTCAAACATCTTTAATAATGGTATAAATAATTAGAGACTTATTGGATGATGAAATTAGTGAAAGTGACAGTGAAATTTATGCAGAAGACACGCCTGCAGATGTTTCACTCACTGACTTTTCTACTGGAAAAGGGGAGCTGTATGTTTGAGATTTAGAAGAGCCAGAGACTCCTGATGTGGTAATACAGTACCTAAATAAGAACCGACAATGATGAGACAGGTAGGCCTAGAAGCATACCTTTACCTTCACCTAACCTTGAATCTAAATGGACTGGGTATGAGTCTACCACCAGAAATCACATTGAAAATGTTGAAAACAAGTTTAGTGTGAGGGATAGACCAAAGGACCTTCCTGACATGTGTAGAAGAACCACTAAATTTGAAACTGAGCCGAGTTCAGCAATACAGTTTTAGTAAAAGAAAAAAGTTTCCTATAAATTACTTCTACCTTTGTTTCGTCCAATCTGTTTGGATTAACATTACTAGACATACTAATGATCATGCCAAAAGCAGAGAAGAGAGCTTCTAGGTTGATGCGGCTCGAAGCGAGAGAGCTTCTCGCCTGAATAAATGGATGAAAATCACTGTTGACTCGAGAGTATATTGCTCTGGTCCGAAACATGGGAGTTTCTAGGTAAGTATACACCCAATTTAAGCCAAATTGAAGAGCATTTCCAATTACAGTCCAACTCAAGCTTGTACATTTACTTACTAGTAGCTTTAAATAGTCTCACCTTTAGTAATAGCAGCTGTGAGCGTAGTCTTCCCGTGGTCAACATGGCCTATGGTTCCAACATTACAATGAGGCTTGGATCGGTCAAACACTTTCTTCTCTGCATATCGTCGAACAGCTGATATTGTCACAGAGTTAGGTTTGCAAATGTACCTGCTGTTCAATCTGACACTACATTTCTGTAAAAAAAAACATATCTGTAGCCTATGAGAAGTGTTTTCACTTCTAGCAGAAAGTTAACTTAGCATCCTATATGTATGTAATTTATTGATCAAGATTTTATTTCTTATCTAAAACCACATGATTATTTAGTTTATTTAACTTTACCTGTATGCTTTTACATTAAGTAACCTGGATTTTTAAACAAAAAATATAGATGACTAGCAGAGTACCCGTCCTTCGTACGGGGTTAGCATATAAGTATAAAATGCTTATTACAGTTATGGGAGAGGACACGGTTTAAGAAAATTTGGTATTTTAATTTATAAGGTAACCTTTAGTGTAGCACACATCTACCATAGCCCTAATGTTCTACCACTGCATCTAAACCATAGAAAAAAGTAAAGTTCTCATTGTGGACCACAACTTTTTAGCCTGACAGACGTCGTCCTAATGTGGTTGTAAGTCAAATGCTCGTTCATTTTCAAGATGAGCTCTTTCGCATCGATCAATCACGTCCTGGTTGAAGTTCGTTTGCTACGCTTACTCACCTTTAGGTTGGAGCTCGTTCGCTGTGCTCACTTGCCTTCAGGTTTAGCTCGTTCGCTACGCTAACTTGCCTCCAGGTTGAAGTTTGTTCGCTACACTCACTCACCTTTTGGTTGCAAATTAGCTGGTTTCATAAATAAAAAGAAAATGATAGTGCTGCACCCTGTTGGTAAACCTATTAGGCCTAACTTTTTAATATTATTGAACATAACAGAATCAAATTGTTTAGTTGAACCAGCTGTTAAGATTCTTTAATTCCATTTAAATATACTCATAAGGTTAACATGGGGAACTACAGAGCCACTGGGGGGGAGCCCGAAAGGATTTTTGAGATAAGAATATGCCTAAATGTTAATCGGGAATGTGAGCTATCATCATGCCAAATTTCAGCCCAATCCGTCCAGTAGTTTATGCGTGATTGAGCAACACACAAACTTTCAGGTTAAAATACTAGTAACATAATTAAAATTATAAATACCGTAAATTTAAAATTAGGGAATAGGCCTACTGTACTTATAACAGGGATATAACATTATTTCAGATTTACACTTTTGACTTTACACTTACCGGTAGCTATATTTTGAGTAGATTTAGAGTTTACTTCATGCAATAGCCTAATCTGATTTTTTTAAATCTTCACATTTAATTATTTGTTGAGTGAAGCTCACTTTCCCTCACTTTGTAACTTCTTTGTAAGGGCATCAGAATGTAATCGCTTGACGGTACTTTCCTGTTAAGGGGAACATTCATTATTATCGATGATTTCTTTTCGATATATCGATCTTTTTGTTTTCGTTTACAATCGATGTTTTGTAATGTTGGATTAAGAAATGAAACTATTCTAAACTAACCTAACATAACTAACCAAACTTGCTGTAGGCTAAGTTACCGTTTCAAAATCCCGTTTAATAACAGAAAAGGCATATGGGAAATAGGCTACCAAACGGCATTTTGAAATGTTACAGCAAGTTTGGTTAGTTAGGTTAGTTTAGAACAGTTTCATTTCAATATAATTTTGTATTGTTTGTTGATACTGATAACTGAACAATTTATTCATCGTAGTTGTCAGCTGATAAGTTTCAATTTTGTTATATCAATACATCGAATAAACGATAAAATATCGATATATCGAAAAGAAATCATCGATAATAATGAATGTTCCCTTTAACAGGAAAGTACCCGCTTGACCAATTGATATAAAATTTGGCCAACAGCTAAAGAATACTGAGCACAATGTTTTGGTAAAAAAATATTTGCAAATTTCCTTCTGGATTTTATTTTACGGGTCACCCAATTTCGCTTGTTATTTTAATGTAAGTTGTAAGAAAAATTATATTGGGTTTATGACATATGGGTTTATCTCGTTTCATTTAAATAAGATAAACATATGTTAATTGTTTGTAACTGTTTAGTATTTAGAAGGAAAAAGGAACTATTAACTTTATATTAATTCAAAAGAAGAATATTTATTTTATTTTAAATACAAATGGTAATGCCAAACGCCAAAGCCACAGAACCCAAGTCCGTTTTATCTTCAGACAACAATCTTATCGCTCTATTCATGTCATTGTCCTTATCGCTTGTCGGTCGCTTCAGACAGGTATCCTGGTCATTCTCTCTCTGTCCACGGCCCTATTAATATGGTCTAGTACCGGCCACCTCTTTTAATCTCATTTCCATTTACATTATTTCATCAAGTTGTTTCAGTTTTCATTTTTATTGCAATTAATATTGCCCAATCTTATTCTGAAGTTATTTTTGTTGTTTTAGTGACAAGTAGTATTTTTATTTGCGTTTTATTAACCCACGAATCATGCACCATCAAGTAATCAAAGTGTCCTGTGCGGTGTCGCGACTTCCGTGTAATTAAAGTGGCCACGAACAATAAAAGACTTAGCGTTACGTGCGAACATCAAACCTTCAAGCAGAAAGAAGAGCGAAAATCGTCTCATCCAACATCCAACTACCAAGGGTTCGTCACAGCGCCGACACTAATTTGAAGTTCAAATACGCCATCTTTCCCACTTCCCCCTACGTCTGCACTGGAGTTTGTAAAGGTACATGTTTTCAAGTTTCTTATTATTTTCCGCAATGTAATTTGCGGTGGTCCTTCGTAATTTACCTATGAATAATCACTTTTAATATTCAATTTTTAAATAAATACACTCATACGTAACATTTGGTCATTTCGAGCCATATCATTTTCCAGTTTTATGGAAATATATCCATTGCTCATTTCCGCCATTTTGAATCTCTCTTTCTCTTTCTGACTGACATTCTGTCATTCTGTCCAGTCAGTGACGTCAGTCCGTCAGTGTTCAGTTAGTTCATGTCCATGTCATGTTTTAAATCGGCGATACCACTCTTTACCACTGTTTGCACTCTTTACCACTGTTACCACTGTCGGCGATACCACTGTTTTAAATCATGTATACCACTCGGCGCATGCGCGCACATAACCTGTTCCAGCTCAGCCAATCATATTGTCACAACAATATTCCCAGTGTGCATTACATGCAATATTAGTTCTCTAACTCTCCGCGTCTTGCATAGGCGCTGCTTTGCAGCTGTTTCGGCAAACTCCAATATTTTCTGCAACGATCAGCTGATCGTTAACTGTCATTATCTTGTTTGTTTACATTTTCATTTTGCCGACCAAACTTCAACTTTAAAGTGGCAGTGGTTAGTTTGGCATTATTTTTACTTTATGTAGTGGACTAATAAAGTGAAATGTATTTTAGTTAATGGGTTGAGAATATTTTCAACTTAAAGTGTTACAAAATAAAATTGAATAATCTATACAAGAAGAAAATGGACTTTCTGCTGATTGATTTGAATAATGAAATACTGTCATGTTTTGTACTGTGGCTGTAAGTAGGCCTATTTACTGAAATATAACTAATTATTCCAAGTTTAAATAGTTAGGCCTACAGTACTACACTTGGACAACTTTATTATATTTTTATCATCATAGCCTATGCTTTATTATTTTATAAAGACAAACCAAGCTGGTTATTTACTGGTTCATGAACCTAACCTTCAGTGCTCACTAAGATATAGCAATTTATTAATATTTACTCTCAATTTTTGGAAATAGGCCTAAATTAAGGTTAAAACAGAAGATTGCTAGGCAACCATGGCTACCTCCCTTGCTGTTGTAAATGCAAGAAAGGATAATGCCTTCACTCAAATTCAGATGATATATGATTTGTCCAAGAAAGTGTCTGATAAGGATATTCAGCAAAGGTTTTTGATTCGGGCTAGGTCTGTAAATAAACTCCGAGATGATTTCTCTGAGGCTTTAGATGCCTGCCATGAACTTGAATTAGCAAAAGATCCTAACTTCCAACCCAACTATGCTCCTCTAAATAGTGTTGATGAATTAATTGACTACATTAATGCCAATGTTGCCAACCTTGAAAGTAAACTTCAATCCTCAAAAAATAAGAGTGATAAGACTCCGACTCCACAACCTTCGGTTGTACGCTTACCCAAGCTTGAACTTAAACATTTCAGTGGTGAACCTCTGGAGTGGGTGTCCTTTATAAATTTGTTTGATTCTAGCATTCATAAAAACTCATCTTTGTCTGATGTGGTGAAATTTCAGTATTTATTAGGCATTGTTTCTGGGGAACCCTTGAATTTAATTAAATCCCTGCCTATTTCTGATGCAAACTACACAGTAGCCTATGATTTGTTGAAAGAGCGGTATCATTCGCCTAGACGATTAGTTACTCTGCACTTAAATCAGATTCTTGACTTACCCTCAGTAAATCACACCTCAAAACAAATGAGAAAATTTGTAAATTTATATAATGAAAATATTCAAGCACTCAAAGGCTTAAATAGTGAAATTGCTACAAAAAATTATCACCTTTTGTCTGCCATGCTTTTGAGAAAACTGGATAGTGATTTAAGGAAACGATTTGAGATTTTTCGTGCAATTAATAACCCCACTGACAGTGATGGTGATAACCCTGCCTTACCTAATGTGACTGAGTTAATTCAGTTTCTCACTAAAGAATGTAATCAAATTGAAGAAGCAAACCTCCACAGCAGTCATAATGTGAAAACAACATCTGATAATTCATATATTAACTCAAGATTCAACAAATCATCGGTAGGTAATAAGGTGTCTATGCTGACTTATCATTCTGGTGATCAAAGCAAATCCTACCCTAAGTACACTAAATGTTTTGTATGCAACAAAATTGATCATAAGGTTTATACATGCTCGGTCTTTAAAGATAAGGATCCTAAGGCCCGTTACCAGATTGTAAAGGAGAATAAGCGGTGCACATCGTGTTTAGGGAATCATCTACTGAGTGACTGTAAATCTAAGTCGAGCTGTTACACATGCCATCAGAATCATCATACTTTATTACATTTTTATGGTAAACCTCGTCAATCATCTAACCAGGCTACGCCTCAGACTTCAACTCGTGATTCTTCCTCAGCTCATCAAGAAAAT